CTCCTTACAGGAGCTTGTGGTTTCCAGCATAGACACAGGATTAATACATCATATGCTTATGCTTTTCAGATCGAGAACATGCGGGGTTGATCCATGAGTGAGGTGTACCACCGATGGATATGACAGCAAAGGGGACGAAATACTCTAACACTTGATGTATCACAATAAATGTAATGTAAATAAACTGTATCAATTGTTTTTCGCTCAATGGCTTAGTAACCACAGTCACAATATCTGCACTTTGTAAGACTGGTATAGCTAGCTATTCAGCGAGCGATATATTGTGTAAAAGCGCTAGGTATGAGGTAATTGTAATTATAATTTACAGTTCTAAATATTGTATAACTAAATTTTAATAAATATATGTACTATACAAGGACGACACTGAAAGTTTTTAGAACTGGCCACTTGTAAACGATATAATAAAAAATAAGTTCAAGTGTTGAAAATGAAACTCTGCCAATATTTTTGTTTATGTATTTTGTTAATTTGTCAATTGTTTAGGATTTGGCGGCAAATTTAAAATTGTTTGTCACGTCAGCATGAATTTAACGCGAGAAAATTTTCATACAATGCTTTTTTTTGGATTTCGATGTCATTTAAGTCAACAAGAAAGTTATGATAGACTTCTGTTGGCCTTTCACGATGAAGCCCCATCTCGTGCCACTGTTTAAAACTGGTGTAATGAGTTTAAACGTGTTCGCACTAATCTCACCGATGATCTACGTGAGGGACGGCCTTCTACGGCGACGACTGAAGATAACATCAGTGTTGTGCGGCGTATGATAGAGACTGAAAAAAGAGTGACTTATCAGCAGATTCGGACAAACTTAGGCATCGGTATGAGTCAAGTGCACAAAATCCTCCGTGAACATTTAGCGGTCAGAAAGCTTTGTACCCCGTGGATACCTTATGGATTGGTGTTGTGAAATGGTTCAAAGATTTAACGGAGCTAACTCAAATGCTGTGTTCGACATACTTACGGGTGACGAAAGCTGTATTTATTGTTATGATCATGAAACTAAGAGACAGTCTGCGGTCTGGGTGTTTCCTTCCGAGGAGTTGCCAACTAAAGTGAAGAGAGGTCGTAACACAACAATTATTTTAGAAGATCGAAAAACAGTTACTTCAGAGTGATCAATTGTTTGCCACTTGTCTTGGAAAAAGTTCGGGGGAAACGACCTCGCAGTAGGATCCTCCTTCACCACGACAATGCCTCGTCGCACACCGCCAAGCAAACAAACGACTACTTTGTGACGTCAGACGTGGAATTACTGGGTCACCCGCCCTATAGCCCCGACCTCGCACCTTGCGATTTTTATTTATTTTCGAAAATAAAATAAAAACTTCGAAGAAAACGTTTTATGGACGCCGAGGAAACAGTTGCTGCGTTTCAAAATGCCGTCGAAGAGACCCTAGGACGAGTGGTCAAAGTACTTTTTTCAGTAGTTCCATCGGATGCAGCGATGTATTGATGTAAATAGATACTATTTTGAAAAGATATAATAAAACTAATAACTTGCTAGTTTGTTCAGTTTTTGATTTTATAAGAACTTTCAGTGTCACCCTAGTATATCACGATCTGGATCGAGACATGCGGAATTTAATCGTCAGATAAAAGTTCTGAATCAAATAAATTCTAACCTGGCCGTACAACTGTAATTTTTAATTTGTTTATGTTGTATTTTTCAACCGACTTTAAAAAGTAGGAGCTTCTCAATTTGTCGTATTCTTTTTTTACTCGAAGACGCCTGAACCGATTTCAAAATTTCGTTTTTGTTTCAAAGAGTATATTTCCCTGTTGGTCCCATTTAAATTTTATCGAAATCGTTCAAGCGGTTTAAAAAAAATCAAAAATAAATTATTTATGTTGAAGTTGTACTTGTACCTACTATTAATAAATTTTAACTAGGATAAAAAGTCAGCCCTTAAGGCCTTTAACAAAGAAAATTAATAAATGTGTTGTTTGAGGTAATTTTAATAATAAGAGTTAAATATTAACATTATTTGGCTTAGACACGAAACAACATTTTTCCTATTAGAAATTACACGCATATGCTAAACGTGGTTACACTCAGCTACACAAATGTTCATCCGTATATAAAACACATAACTTATTTCTTGATTGAATTGAGTAAAAAATCTTTCAATACCATCCATATATAAAACACATGTTGAACACATAACTTATTTCTTGATTGAATTGAATAAAAAATCTTACGAAAGTTCCGCCTTCTTACGAAATTGCGCATTTCAAAGCCACTAGTCACTGTAACTGAATTACTTTAAATCATCGAAGACACAGTTCGTTGGAGCTAACTGTTGCATATACGAAATAATTACTGCACATGCGTTTATGATAACTATATTTACTGATTTTTAACAAGCGTACAGTGTAGCCCACTTTGAAGGTTATCATTCCTAATAATGGACTATGAAATAATTATTTTAAAAGATCTTTCTAATGATCAGCATCGATAAGAGAAAAATGTGTATATTATAGGCGAAGACCAGAAATTGAGACTGGGTGTGGGAGCAATTCGTCTGCTGACAATAATGATTTCGTATTTTGTGTATTCACATTATTTGTATACACACTCGAGGCAAGTGTGACATAAATTAATTAGAACTATTATACTTTTACAGAGTAGAAGTATTTAAATGTCCATAATGGACATTTAAATACTTCTACTCTGTAAGAATTTAACATAGAGAATTCAGTTTCTTAGCATCAATTATTAAGTGCTTGTTTGTTTGAACAAGCATTTTAGTATCTACAAGTAGCATTTTATAATTTAAGGTATAATTAAAACTAATCGATGTGGAAGACACACTTACCCCATCAATGAGGCAAATGACAGTACGCTTCTTTTTGTAGTTACTTTATTATTATCTGTGGTTTTCGACAAAATTGAAGAAATGATACTAATGTCAAAATATTTTAAGATCTATAAACGATTTGAACTTCCATTTTTGTGTAACAATGAGGTTTTCCCCACATGAGGCAAGTTTTCTGAGTAGTTTTTAAAAAATGTTGTTTTTTCTCTGAGTAAACCTCGCTTAAAGCCAAGCTTATGGCCGTTAGTTTGGACTTTGCGAAGGCCTTCGATAGGGTTTGGCACAAAGCGCTTCTTTCGAAGCTCCCTTCCTATGGGCTTCCAGAGAAATTGTGTAATTAGATCACTAGCTATCTTGCAGGTTGGAGCATCAAGATCTTTGTAGACGGTGCATGCTCCGATTACAAGCCTATTAACGCTGGTGTTCCACAAGGCTGCATGCTATCACCAACGCCGTTTCTTCTGCACATCAATGATATGTTGCAAACTAGTAACATTCATTGCTATGCTGATGACAGTACTGCTAATGCTCTATACACCGACCGTGTCAATATTTCTCGGGGAAACGTCGCCGAGTACCGGAACAAACTTGTGTCTGAAGTCGAGTCTTTGCTGAACAAAGTCTCGAGTTGGGGTGACTAAATCTAGTCCAGTTTAATCCTCAGAAGACACAAGTTTGCGCGTTTACCGTTAAAAAAACTCTTTTGTTGTAGTATCTCCTCAGTTTCAAGGCACTCCCCATGTTGCCTCAGCCAGTATCGGAATCCTCGGCGTCGACAAATCGAGTGACGTGCAGTTTCGTGGTCACTTGTAAGAGAAGACCAAATTGGCCTCTAAAAAGCTTGGCGTGCTCAGCAAAGCGGTACAGTATTTTATGCCGGCACACCACCTGCAACTTTATAAGGCGCAGGTTCGGTCTCACATGGAATACTGTTCCCATCTCTGGGTGATCTGAGTGTGGTGCGACGTTCACCATGTTCTATGGAAATGTCCTCTGTATGACGACCTAAGAGCGAAAATGATGGATGGAATTAGTTCGTACGGTTCAAGGACCGATCTACTACTCGGATCTCGTTAGTAATGGGGTGAACTACGGGCTGTTGCGCGAGTTTGCGCACAGGTGACATGATCGAAGAAGAAGGCAAAATAGAATGCTGGCAGAATGGCCTGACGACGTAGGCGTAATAATTCCGTCAACCCTAGAAGGTGGAGAATGACAAACTGGGACAAGCAGTAGATTAAATAACTTGTAGAGAGTCAAGAAAGTGCTCACGGGAAAGAGCCCTGAGCAAGTACCGCGTGCATCTCTCGAGATTCGGCCCGTATAACCGTAAGGTTGGTGGGGCTATAGGAGGTGGTGGGTTGTTCCCATCTCTGGGCTGGGGCTCCCCAGTGCCAGCTCCTTACAATGGACTGCATCCAGTGCAGAACGGCTTGAATCGTCGACGACCGAGTCCTTTCCGATCGGCTCGATTCATTGGCGCTGCGAAGAAATGTTGCATCCCTTTGCATTTTCTTTCGCACCTACCACGGAGAGTGCTACGAGGGGTTGTTCGGGTTAATCCCAGCCGCCAAATTACACGAACGCACATCGCGAAAAAGCTCCTGATCCCATCCATACCATCTGAATGCCTGGCGGTCCACCACCACTTACCATCAGGTGTGCCGTATGTCCATTTGCTACCTCTCATATAAAAAAAATATGAAGTATTACTTAAACACTCTCTAACATCTGGCTAACTATTGTGTAAGGAAGAGTTCTACAAGCAAGTAGACGGTTGGCAATGGCCCACCTGGCATTTTCGATACTACACAACATCTCCTTGTTTGTTCCCCCCCACCCCCCCACCCGCCCTGCCGCCTTTAACGACACCCCCAGTACGATACGGGATCGTGGATTTTCTTGCAACGCCACTACGTGATTCAAATTTACAATTTTAATAATAATAATAAAAACATAAAATAAATAAAAGACAATTTCACAACATAATTTAATTACTTATTTTATTAAATATTTTAGAGACGCATTATTTTTTATACATATATTAATAAACATTACAACAGTAAGCAACTGAATGAAAAAGCAAACATTTATTTCTTTCTATATTCTATTAATTCCAATGTGTTATACTTTCGTTATTATATATTACACAATACTGAAATCTACTTTCCAATGCGAGCATATGGTGACTCATCTGAAACAATATTGAGATTTTTACACAAATTAATCCTAATACTACATACATTCAGTAATGAAAAGAGGGCTGTGCACAGTCGCATGCAGGCTGTTATTTTAATTTGCTTGTTGGCCCGCAAAATCCCACTGCTGTACATGGGCCTCCCTCGTTGTGGGGAGGATTTCCTTAAGAGGATTGTGAAGTACCGATACGCGGCACGAGTAGGTATTTTTAAAAATGCTATCTGTTTCATACCGCTCTTTCCGTATCGCTGTATCGTGCGATAAAGCTGAACGCACATTTGTCCGCACCGTACGCATCATACGCGCCGAGTTTTACTGATGGCCTCGCACATTTGCCCGTACGCATCGTCCGCACCGTACGCAAATCTTTTGTATTACCAACAACTTTTGTAGTTTTTTTTCAACCACTGGTGTGAACGATACAGTGAAATTGATCGCTCGAAATCACTATGGAAAGAAATATAGTAATAGCCTGCTTATTGGCAGAGGAAGAATAAAATTAAATTCGAAGAAAAAGAAGATTCTGAATTCATAATATTAGTTTAAAAAGGTAAGTAAAAGTAAAAGTATGGAGAATATGAAGGGGATATACTTTAATTAAAGATTTTTTTAGATATTTGCATTTAACATACAAGAAATTTCAAGAATTGCTACATATACTAAAACCATATCTTTTTATGGCGAACTCAAGATTTAGAAGGTCAATCGAACCAGAAAAAAGACTTGTTGTATGTTTGAAGTAAGTATTTTTATTGATAATTAAGTAATCAGGTATAATTGGATTTTTGAATTAAATTTAACTTTTTATTTGTTAGTTCAGTATTTAAATAATTTATCGCTAAGAATACATATTGATAATCGATGCAAAAAAAATTCAAATTATGTATAATTAATTACGAATGAATTAAAAGTTATAAAGATACAAAAATTATCATGTAAGTCGAAACCACCAGTGGAAAATCCAATAAGTTGGCAACATTAGATAACACTGAATATCGAGTATCGAATATCATATCGGAGAAACATGCCGCGTTATATGACGTCATCAGCATTCGTCCTTCGATATCGTATACCTACCGCATTTTATAAAATTCGGCGCGTACGATGCGGGTGTAATGTGCGAGGTTTGATTTGATTTCATGCAACAAATTCTAAAATTCGGCGCGTACGGCGCGGACAAAAGTGCGTTCAGCTTAAGAGTTGCAAGTCTTCTACATTTCCTTTTTGATATATTGTTTCGGGCGATAACGTTTTTATCCCCCTAAACCTTTACGAAATGAGGCAATTTTGGTCTCATTAGATTTATTACACCTTAATCTAGGTCTGTACATATTTTTTAGTAATTCAGTTTAATATAATTAAAACAAAGTAAAAACACTCGAGGAAGATTTTAAGTCAAAAATTTAGATGCTAATAACTAGTGACCGACCAAAGATTCGGTTTCGGTTTCGGTTTCGGCAAGTTTCGGCCAAAAAATCTAGTGTTTCGGTTTTGACAAAAAATCTGCCGAACTTTCGGCGGTACCGAAACTCAGTGTTCGTGGATTATCGTGCGTCGTTCAGATGCGTTCGAAACTCGTGTTTTTTTTCAATATAGATAATAATAAATAATACTTATTGAAAGTCTCTCTTTTGTTTAATAACCTCTGTCCTTGGAAGAACCAGCAAGAAACCTAGCGGGACTTTTTTTTAAAATAATAGCTTATAATCAGAGGCGTAGCGTGGACTAATATAAATGTGGGCGAAGTTGCATCACCCAGGCCCCTTTTCTTTCATTCCAAGGATCTACCCAATAGATCTATCCTACCAAACATGCTTTGACACGACATACCTACTCATATCTATTAATTCCTGACAAGTTTCGTTTCCGTCAATGTAACAATCGCAGTCTTTGAAGGTGGCTTCGCAGTTGCATTTAAGAGGGGCTTAACACACTTAAATTTGTGACTTTCTTTTTTGAGCGTGAAAGTGATCAAATTAATTAGTCATCTGTGATAGTCTGAGGGCATCGAGTGCGAGACCGTGGGCGAGGGCCCACTTCGCCCACGCCTAGCAACGTCACTCTTACAATCATATATGTTACACAATTAACAACACAAAACAAATTAGAAATAGCGTGGTAGTGATCACCTCGTTCCCAGGGGCTATTACCTATACAAATAAATAAAAATAAAGTGTCTGTTTGTAATTTCAAAATAACAGCTTTTTACTAAATGCATATGAATGTATATACGGTACTTATAACAAAAACACAATTTTTAAAATTTTTGTCTGTCTGTCTGTTTGCTTGTTCCGGCTAATCTCCGAAACGGTTGGACCGATTTCGACGGGACTTTCACTGGCAGATGTTCTAAAGGAGTAACTTAGGCTACTTATATTTGAGAAAAAGAATTAGCGTTCCGCGCAACATAATTAAAACCCTAAATTACACGCGGGCGAAGTCGCGGGGAACAAATATATTGCTACATGACTATTAAAATTACTGTTTTTCATTAACATGCATTACCTATCTGTATATGTATAAAATGTACCAGATTTCAGTATACAATAAAAAAAAATAACATGTCTATATAAGTTTCGGTTTCGGTTTTGGCCGAAACTGACACCCAGACCGAAGGTTCGTTTGCGGTTTCGGTTGAAAATCCTGTTTCGGTCGGACATTACTAATAACTTATACCGTAGGCAATATTTCTTTAAAATAAAAACGTACGGTACCTAGTTTTTCACTATATCTACATGTTCAAAAATTATGAAAATAATGTTTACGGGGTGGGGAAAACGTTATCGCTTTCCTTATGAAAATTTACAGTTTCAGAATCCTCTTAAACGTCACGCTGGGATTGACGATCACAGAGCCAAAGGTCTTGACGCTGCAGCCCGTCGCCAGCATTAGTCTGAGAGCTGGCGACGAATTTTGGTAAGGTCCTTGTTGCAAGTTGAAATTGTGAAAAAATATAATTTCGTCAATTGGCGAATCCAGTCCCGCGAGTCTGGCAGAGCGTTTGCGGTTATTTCGTTACTGCGCAGCATATAACATTTGCAAAAAAAAATCCATAAAAAGTTTTTTTGCAACTTGATTTCTTTTTATCTTTTAATTTAGTTTTTATATAATCCCAAAAAAAAGTAATCCCACACGTTTTTGTCGGTTATAAAGTATTCTCTCATATATCTCATTATATTTTTTCACAATTTCAACTTGCCAAAAAGAACTTCCCAAAATTCGTCGCCAGTGCTCAGACTATATGGGTATTTTACGTCTGACGTAAACGAGACTGTTATTGCGCGATTTACGAGTATCAGAAACCGTAAGATTTTTCATTTTCATTTGACATTTTCCGTGGTAATTTTTCGTAGTAGTCTTTTACAACACCCACGGGAAGTACTGGGCTTATGGATTTTCTTACGTTCCTCTCACACGGTTTATTTTCCCATATTTCGGTAATAAATAAATATTTATATTATTATTGTAGAATACCGAGCGCTTTGGGGCTTACTACTTTGCACCTGCAGCTTTACACTTCAATTGCGAGTTTGCGAGTCTTACCTTTACAGCGATGGTAATAACAACGGTACAAATTCCAACGTGTAAAGCTCCACGAACTCTTGACTGTACAATTAATATGACTGGTTGTTTTTAGTCTCTAGAGGCAGCTGCCCTTGGTGACGCCCTTGGATTTTTTGACGTGGTAGAGTCATACTGCAGCTATATTAGTAGTATAGTCGTAGCACGAATGGGTCAGCTCGACCGGGGAAGGACCACGCTCTCTCAGAATACCAGCGTAAAATAGCAGCTTAACACTGCTGTGTTTCGCGTATGGTGAGTGTAGACCCTTTTTACTGGAAAATAGGCATTCCATCTTAGTCTTCACGGGTGACAACGCATCTGCATTTTGATTCTTTATTGAGGATAGATGTGCACAGCAACCACTTACCATCAGGTGGACTGTGTGCTCATTTGTCATCCTATCGTATAAAAAAAAACCTGTCCTTAGGGCAAGAGCGAATAGGTAAAAGTCAGTGTGCTTCACCGTTGCCGGGTCCATCACTACTTATCATCTGGTGGGTTGGTACTCAAGCGTTGGCGTATAACAGTTAATAAAATTGTCAATTGAACTTTAGTGTCGAAGTTTGATTTGCTTAATTAGACATCATCAGGTACACAAATATTGAGAAACCCTGAAATAAGTACTTACATTTCTTATATGGGTACGGGTAAGGACCATTCTGCTGAGGTGCCCCGTCTACTAAAGCAGGTCCAGTGCCTGTAAAGATTTACCAGTTTTAATTATGTATACTCTGAATGATATGTGGTATGTATTTATTTATATATTTTATATTTATATAGGTACCTAATAAAGGTGACAAACGAGCACACAATCCACATAATGGTCAGTAGATGCCTAAATGCGATAAAATTACATTTTTGTATGATTTTCACGTTTATTAATTTAAAAACAATATTGACTAACAATTAATTGTAAAGTAACACAACAAGTGTACAATAACAGCTTGCTATTCTTTTTAAGATAAACGGTAAACATCAAAAGAGCTTACTTATTTGTTCATGTCCTCCTGGAGGCCCTGTAAAGAAAAAAATGAGTATTATTTTTTATGACAGACATCCATTAGAAATGGAAATTATAGATTTTTTCGTTAATTTCATTAGTACGCGGAATAAATTTTTTTAACATGCTTTGTATTATTGCTATGCCAATTAATAAAGAACAAAGAACACCAGCTTAGAATTCTGCAGTTTTTATAATTTGTTTGTAATATTTTGTTTAAAAACTATTAATGTTTATGAACAATAAATAAAATAAAATAATTTTAATTATTTTATATTGAAAATAATTAAGATTTTAATTATTAACTTTTTGCCTTATTCATAGAACTTATGTTTAAGACTTACAGTTCCCCGGTTTGTAGAAGTATCCGTCTGGGACAACTGCAAAGAAAATTGAAAATTATTATTAATAATAAATGGTAATATTAAATTTAGTGCTCCACTATTGGCCAATGTTTTCTTAAGCACGATACACATTTTTAATCGAATTCAAAAAAGGGCTAGGACTTCAATTTGACTGCATATTTTAAATTTGGTAACGGAAAATCTCCATGAAGAAGCAAATAACATAGTTTGGTGACACAGTTTTCTAGTCTAGTTTCTGTGATGTTAGTGCTGTTAGCCTTTTCGCATATACAGCGTCATTGGACTTAGGGCTCGCGGCCTGAGAGACCTGGCCTGAGACCGTGAGCTGAGAGGCCGCGAGCTAAGACGGTGTTCTATAGGACCACTGTGAACTAGATACCATGATAATATTGAGAGAAGATTCATATTTTTTATGATCCAATTCCAATAGTTTGCGTAGAAACTTTATTATGTTATTTATACCCCATGTTAAACAAACATTGTTTTGTAAAGATATATAAATCTATACCTATGTATGAAATTGAACTGTCCGTCTGTAATATCAAAATAACTGTCTTTTATTGAAGCTTTTATTTGCATGTCATTAATTAATTACCCTATTTAAGGCATACTGCCAGAGTCTGTATACGAGCAATCTATGGATCAATCACACTAAAAGGTCGCTGGATGCCCTGCGTGTTCAATATAATAATGCTTTCAGAATGTTGTTTGGACTGCCTCGATACTGTAGTGCGTCGGAGATGTTTGCGCAAGCTCGCACGGACGGTTTTCATGCGATAATACGTAAGAAAACAGCTTCGCTGCTTAGAAGGGTGAGAGATAGTCACAACAGCATTTTGAAAACAGTAGCGGAGAACTATAATTCTCCGATTTTGAAAAAGTTTGTCCATACATTAATGTTTACTAACACTAGTTTATAAGTCAATTGTTACTAACACAACTATGGATTAATTTTGGTCCGAAATAAAGATTATTATTATTATTAAAACAAAATAATAATTTAATAATTTAAACGTCACATTAATATATCCTTCCCAAGCGGAGCTGTGGCGAGTAGTGTAATATATTTTAACAATTTATCTTTAAATTAAACTCTAGTTACGATCTTAAATATTTTAAATTAAACTTACAATTGTCGGGGTTGTTGAAAAGTTGATCTGAAAAAAAGATTATTAAATAATTAGTACAATGTGTTCAGGTTCTATATATTATTGGTATTCTATCTTAGTTTTCATAGAAAAATAAAAAGCCTGTACATTTTGTTACACAAAATAATTGAGTATTTTTTAAGAAAAACCAACTTAGCCCAATTACAATAAAACGGATATATACGAGTACATGTTGCATCAAAAACATACCTCCGATAGGATTGTAATCCACTGCGTGAACTGAAAAGAAAACAGACAAGATAGTTGAAATTTCTTATTTTTTACAAATATTAAATTTTGAACTTAAGAAATTACAGTTTTTTACTAAATGCATATGAAAGACAATACGGTACTTATAACTAAAATACAATTTTTAAAATTTTTGTCTGTCTGTCTGTATGTTTGTAATCTCCGAAACGGCTAGACCGATTTTGACGGGACTTTGACTGGCAGATAGCTGATTTCATAAGGAGTAACTTAGGCTACTTTAGTTTTAGAAAAAGAATTAGGGTTCCGCGCAAAAACATAAAAACCCTAACACGCGAGCGAAGTCGTGGGGCACAGCTAGTCTATACATATAATGCATAAGGACTATGCTGGGAGTATCTTTATGGTGTACGATTTGTAAAGAGGATGCTGATATTATGATACAATATAATCTACAATAAGCGAAAGTGATAATGGGTTTCGGGTTGCTAACTATTATTGAGAGAAATACAGTATTTCCCAAATTGATGAGTTTTTGAAAAATATATATAATACTTTACATGTAATACTTTATTAATACACTATTCTACAAAATAAAGATAGAATGCTGCGATTCACTTTTATAGCAGATGTGTTTGTACAAAAAAAATATGATTCATTTTTAAAATCGTTTATCAGGATCTATATTTTTTTTTATAGGATAAGGGTGACAAACGAGCACACAGTCCACCTGATGGTAAGTGGTTGCTGTGGCCCATAGACATCTACATCTATCTTCGATTAAGAATCAAAATGCAGCTGCGTTGTCACCCGTGAGGACTAAGATGGAATGCCTCGTTTCCAGTAAAAGGGTCTCCGGTTCTCTACACTCACCAAACGAAACACAGCAGCGTTAAGCTGCTATTTTACGCTGGTATGCTGTGAGAGCGTGGTCCTTCCCCGGTCGAGCCGACCCATTCGTGCTACAACTATAATATAGCTGCAGCATGGCTCTACCACGTATAATTATATCTTATATATTAGGGAGAGCTATGATTAGCAGTAGACTTTTGATAGTCTGTACTTAAAGAATGAATGGATACTTTATAATCCGTCAAGCCGTTTGGAGACTGATACAGGAGATAATAAAGTCCACCAACCAAAGACACTATGTTACACACCTAAAAACGTATAACTCTTTATTATATATATGAGCATTTGATGCATATAACTGTTATTCTGGGACAGTCTAGAAACTAGTTTTTTTTTCTGATATGTAAAATAAAACATTCTTCAAGATAACAAAATTTTATGAACATAATTTTTTTTGGTTAATTTATAATAACGATTTCTTATATTTACGCGAACACTACACATTAAATAAAACTACTTTTGCGGATTCTATCGCGTTTAATTTACTTATTTTTATTAAATTCCCGACGTTTCGGGTGCTTTACAGCAACCATGGTCACGGGGAACTGAGGTGATTGACGTTCCGATGTCAAAGTTAACCCGGAGTACCTTCAGCTTTTTAATTATTAATTTTGATCCGATCCACGCAGAATGAACTTACTGTGTCTTGAAGTCTTGCAGTGGTATGCTTGAGTTTAGTTTTAATTTTATTAATTACAGGGGCTTAGCTTTCCATTGACGTCAGTGGAGTTTGGTGTTGATACGTATTTTTACAGAAAGATTACACTATTATAAGCACACACACAAAGTCTCATTATACGGAAACGCGTAATTTTTGAGAAAAGAATAATTGAAAATCAATTATTCTTGCAATGTTTATGTCTAATCTGCTAATAAACTGGCGCCATTTTGTAATGTCATTGTCGACGTCAATAGGGATGTCGATTCTTTCCGAAAAAGGTCGATTTTTAAATCGATTCAAATCGTAAGCTTATGTATCGGTTCACAAAAAATCGATTTCTAAAATATCTATATTTTTTTAATGTTTCTATTTATAATGTAAATATAAACCCATTTTATGAAAAACAAGAAAGATACCATGATAAATGATCTCTTATTGAAATTTGTTTTATTTAACAGTACCTATTAGGGCAGGTAACAAATAAAATAGGTTAGGTTCAACTTATGTCAAAGAATCGAATTGATTGACCCCGACTCCACCTGGTACGAGTCTGTCCTACCCCTAGAGTGGTTTTATAGAGCCGGAGGCGCGTAGGGGGAGCAGCCTCCGCCTGCTGTAACAATGCGATTTGTTACGCTAAGGCGTAGAGGTTGCTCTTCCCGCAGCGCCGGAGACGTAGCAGTCTCAAAATAGATACAGGAATCCTTATGAATCAGTCCCCTTATTTTTTTATGATGAAGGGGATTTTTTTCTCATAAAATGGATTTATATTTACATTATAAATGCAAACATGAAAAAAATATCGATATTTTAGAAATCGATTTTTTGGGAATCGATACATCCACTTACGATTTGAATCGATTTAAAAATCGACCTTTTTCGGAAAGAATCGACATCCCTATTGACGTCGACAATGACATTACAAAATGGCGCCAGTTTATTAGCAGATTAGACATAAACATTGCAAGAATAATTGATTTTCAATTATTCTTTTCTCAAAAATTACGCGTTTCCGTATAATGAGACTTTGTGTGTGTGCTTATAATAGTGTAATCTTTCTGTAAAAATACGTATCAACACCAAACTCCACTGACGTCAATGGAAAGCTAAGCCCCTGTAATTAATAAAATTAAAACTAAACTCAAGCATACCACTGCAAGACTTCAAGACACAGTAAGTTCATTCTGCGTGGATCGGATCAAAATTAATAATTAAAAAGCTGAAGGTACTCCGGGTTATCCGTATCAACACCAAACTCCACTGACGTCAATGGAAAGTCGTACCATTACAGGATCCTAAGCAGGTGGTAGTACTAAGCCTCCCTCTCTATTGAAATTAGGATATTTTTTAATTTCAATAGCCTCACGTATCATCCTTGGCAGAAGTCGATGTTCTTTCGCGAGAATTTATGATTTGTCAAATCTAATGTAATGGCGGGGGCCGTCTAGAATATGATCAGGAAGTCTGCAGTTTGTGATCACATTGTAGACGGCCCCCGCGTGAGGCTATTGAAATTAAAAAAAAATCCTAATTTCAATAACTAAAAAGCTGAAGGCACTCCGGGTTAACTTTAACATCGGGACGTCAATCACCTCAGACCCCGTGACCATGGGTGCTGTAAAGGACGAAACGTCGGGAATTTAATATAAATAAGTAAATTATCCGCGATAGAATCCATAAAAGTAGTTTTATTCAATAATTTATAATATTTATGAGTTGAAACATTTTCCGAAAGACGTCGATAGTATTTACTATATTCCGATTCGAAAAATTGTAACAAAGTCACAAAAAAACAATATTTATTAAATTTTAATTGATTTAGCTTCATATAATGATATTTCAATGTATTTCACCATGAAGCATCCTACAGTCACTACCGGTCCAACAGTTTGGTACTCAAAGGACACATAATCATGTGTGGTATAAATCAGAAATCGTATATAATGTATCCAACTACATAGATAAGATATTTATCATCACAATATATGACTATGACAACAAACATGAGCTGATTCACTACCCAATGATTCAGACACAATGCGATATTTTATTAAGAATTTGTATCCGATATAAAAATACTATAGTCTGTATAAATATACGTAGGAATGATATTATATTAAAGTATAATAAATGAGAGTGAGACAAATGACAAAATAACAAATGAAGAAAGGAAGGCGGAAGATGGAAAGATAAAGACAAGACGTTAAACAGTAAAAATTGTTTTAATTTAACATCCGCCACGCCACAAATGTGATTTGATTCGTAGTATACATTTCAATACATGAATAAGAAAATTCGATTACGAAAAAACGGAACGATAAAAATAGGAAAACGGTGTCGGTCTGCGTCCTTTATCCCATTTTACTATATTGATTTTGAAATCTTTGGTTAATTTTGTTAATAGGACTGAACTAGAATTTCCCCCTCGTCTGGTGCAGTACAATGTCGGTGACTAACTTGATCAACCATTATACGATTCTGTCCGTTGTGGTAATTCTTCTAGTAAAAAAGGTCGTACTGCAGAGAGGCTGCACTAACGCATAAATAGCAGGGTTATTTTAAAACATTATCATCTATGTTTAAAGTTAGTTCCAGTTGCAGCTGGTAGTTCTGTTAAGCCATCAGTTGGACTGTTAGTTTGCGTGTCACTTTAATTTTATAATAAAACATGACGTAACTTATTAAACAGTTTGGAAAAACCAAAAGTGCACGCCTCATGAGCGTTTCGTTTAATTTTGATGAAAAAAAAAATAAATCGATTACACAAGGTATAAAATCGATGTAGGCTGTATGGTACACTTGTCTTTTATCTATTGAGGGCTATAAAAATTTGGCAGCGCCTTTAAATTTTTAATAGCAATAAAACTTATAAAAGTTGAAAATCATTTTATTAACAAACTACGCGTACTAGGCTATTGATATGATATAGGGAACCAGTTGATGTAATTCTGAAGCTAATAAAAAAAAACCGGACTCGAACGTCAATTTTTTCGGGAGTTATCGTGACAAAATCAATATCCGGACGTCCACGTAAAATATTTTTCAAGCCGTTTTTTTTTTCGAAGTTGTAATATAAAATGATTTTTTACAAATTATAAGATTGATTAATTACAGTGTTTTCTTGATATGCGGCTACCCATATTATCGTATATGTGCAATATAGTTATGATAGGGGCATTTAAGGACAGAAAACTGCTTGACCTTGACGTGTCGAGAATAATTACTACCTAATAAGGCTTTGCGTTATGAGGCGTGCAATACCTGATAATGCTTCGCGTTATGACTTATGAGGCGTACAACAAGTCTGTAAAACAATTAACATACCTCCTTGGCAGTTTGCTAGAACTACTGATGTCAGGAGAAGAATCTGAAAAAAAAACCATTTCACGTTACATATTAAAAATATGGAAATAATATTTTGCGTTTATTTAAATACACTTTCTTATGATAAATAGGATGATAACACTGACAGGTTGAAATTTAGTAAGTATTTGTTGACTTGCGAACATTATCGTTGCGATAAGATTATTGGACGAAAACATGGAGAATAAATTGTGACAAGTACGTTAAGGTCGTATTTTTATTTATATTACCGGTACTAATAAAACTTAGTCGGAAGTTCGTTTGAAAGGGTATCAAACTTTTAGCTATTTCTAACACTTCACGTGTCTTCGAAACCTTTTTATCCCCCAGATCGGTTTCTTTAAACTGTTTGGTGTTTTCCTTTACCCCAGAGAGTATGTAGTAAATCAGCGCTTAATATTGCAATTAATAATTTCATTGGTGCATCGCGGATCGAATCCGGGTTGTTCGCGTACTGTGAAATTACGGCGAGCGTTTAGCCACTGAGCTACCATGGCTTAAAGCGCAAACTAAAACGAATTAATTAATTTATTTTTACAAAGTATAATTATTTAATAATTTGTAACTTCGATCATGTTCAATCGGTTCGCGTTGCGACAACTTATTGATGTACATACGAGTACATGGTGTGACAAAACAACATAATGTTTTTTTTTTACTAAGTTTGTACCAAAGCAAAGCATAATGAGTATGATAAATGAAAATTAGTAATTGAGAATATAATGTTATAATTGTGTCTATCTATGTATATATTTATTAGTAAATATTATATCACTATGTATATATTTATTATTCACACTGAATTAATTAAAATGTAATCGATGCTGCGGCAAGAGCCGCATTGTCATACCTGAGACCTAAAATAGAATGTCTCGTTAGCAATGAAAAGAGCCTGCGGTACTCCACATTCATCCTACGAAATACGGTAGCATTAAGTTGCTATTTTAGTCTGGTATTCAGTGGGAGCGCGACCCTTTACCGGTCGAGCCGAGCCATTCGAACTGCAACCATAATAGCTGCAGCGTGGGCTCTACCAGGTTAAAACAAATTATCGAAAAATAATTTTTCATTGTTGTTTTCAACAATAGATATTAATTATTATTACAAAAGATATTTTATTCACATCCACCACGCTGTGACGGCCAACTCGCCAGGAGTTTGTGAACACAGAGCCTATAGTCGATAATCTCACATTATGTCACTCCCCATCTATCTCTAAAATTAGGGTTTAAAGTATTTGGATAGACTTTTCAATATTATACGGTCTCCAAGAGTTCGATCATTAATCAGCAATATGTGCCGTTTGCAGATCTGGCTAAAAACCAAAGCATATTATTTAGCAGAATTTAGTGACTACAAGTATCTACGCTAGGGTTGCCTACGAACCTCGCATTGTTTACAGTGATTAAAAGACAGGAAATAATTAGTTATTTGTTAATCAGCTATAGTTAAATTAGAAAGACGGTAACCGGTAAAGAATTAAATTAGAAAAAAGATGAAGAATAAACGACTATATGAAACACAGTAGGTACATACCACAACAGTTTTCATTTTGTAACAAAATAACGAGATACTAGTAAAAAGTGCGCTAAAGAACAATTATTACTGATTGTGGTATATTTCCGTCGTGTTGTCTTTTTATATGGCTTTAGATAACCCCGATATCCAATCACGGTCAATATCATGTTCGAGCGAGTATCCAAAGCAAACATTTTTTGTGTATATCTATTTTAGGAATCGGAAAGCAAATATATTTTCTGACAATTCCACTTAGCGAATAATTGTTTTGTTTGAATTCAGAGAATTTTATTTGAGACTTCTCTTCAAGTCAGGTCAAGTTATCTCTGATCTATAATACGTTAGGTATTTGTGTTGATATTATTTCCTTAAATAAAATGTGTCGGTTATTACTTTATTTATTTTTATTTTATTTATTTATTTGAGGACAGCCAGAGGTAATTACAATAATACATATTCACAAAACATAATATATAAGCTTAATTTTTAAATGTAAAACCTATTAAAGGCAGCCACAACATGCTTCACAAGAAAAGTAACACTTTATAACATAAATAACAAAACACTTGAAACATAACTTTAAAAAAAATATAAACTAATAAACTGAGACACCTTAAAACAATACAGGAGGAAAATCACAATAATCAATTAAACCAACGGTACTTTATGATATATAGAGTTTATATATTATTATATAAATCTCTATTTATATAGAGAGAGGTTACTTTATAATATATAGACTCCTCAGTAGTTCATTCTTGGAATGCATAATCGTCATTATCATAAACGGAACGTTTATAATAATGACGATTATGCATTCAACGGAGCAAAATAAATCGTACATATGACGTATAATGCCTTAAGACATTCTCTCCCAGTCAACCATTAGGCTAAGCAGATAAACATATGGGAGATAGTGCAGCAAAAATAAAATAATAATGAAAAAATTTGAAAAACTCGGACAGGTGGACGTGCGGACGCACGCACGCACGCACGCACACACGCACGCAAGCACGCACGAACGCACGTACGCACGCACGAACGCACGTACACACGCACGCGCGCACGCGAGAGTGCACGCAGTCACCCACGCACGCACGCCTTCACACGCGTATGCACGTACTCACGCACGCATGCAAGATCGCACGCACGCAGGAACGCACGCATGCACGCACTCACATACATACGCCCGCACGCGGTAACGCACGCACTCACGCACGTACGCACGCACACACACACACACACACACACACACACACACACACACACACACACACACACAGCTTTTTACTAAATGCGTAGGAAAGTATATACGGTACTAATAACAAAAATGTCTGTCCGTCTGTTTGTTCCGGCTGATCTCCGAAACGGCTGGACCGATTTTGACAGAACTTTCATTGGCAGATAGCTGATATTGTAAGGAGTACGTACTTAGGCTACTTTTATTTTAGAAAAAGGATTGGATTTCCGCGCAAAAAAATTAATACTCATGAAAGCCAATCGCAATAAATTCCACGCGGGCGAAGTCGCGGGGACCAGCTAGTATAATATATAAATATATACATAATATTCTAAATCAATCCTTGGTAACAGAAACTACCACAGAGTACGAATTAGGCAATAACATTCATCCTCTCAGTCTCAGTCTACCTCTACAAAGCTCTGCAAAGTGAGAGTGACTAACTCCTATGGACTAAAGAATAGAATTGTAGTCGTGGCTATTGTAATATATTTTTACTATACGAAGTGATGTTATGCAATAACATAACGAGTTGAAAATTAGTTAGGTACTAGTCTTAAATGCTTAAAGTTGAAAATTAGTTAGTTGCTAGTCTTAATAAACAAATTGTTACGGCCCACAGCTGCCCTTGCAAAGGTCGCCTTGGCTAGGGTCCATAGTAGCCTCCTCGACGGGCAGCCGAGGGTTCGGGCCCAAATGGCCTTATGGAAAAATGACCTATCATACTACAAAATAGGGAGAAGGCTAGGAAAATCAATGGTACGTACCTGGATCCGAATCTAAGACCGCCCCAAGGCTCGGTCAGGCTGTATGTAGAGTAGATGCAAGTAAAGTAGTGTTTAGTGGTGTGTATATGTGGGTGACCTGGCCCAGCTGAGGTGACCTGGCAGCGGCCGGTTTCCATGCTGCCCCACAATGCTGCATCACTCCAGCAGGCGTCCACAATGGACAACTTCTTTCTTCATTTCACTGTTTCAGTCTACTTTATTGTACATTTAACTAACTTCAACCCGACTAATTCAAAGTTCATCGTAGAATCGAATACGTGACACCCGACCCAAGTAACGGACAGTAGTTCATAGTTCAACATTCAATGTCCAGGATTCATTTATGACCAAATTACAAATATGGAACTAACGCGATCTCTTCATGAGTCACACGGTTCAGCGTTACAAACACAACTAAGATCCTTCGTTCGATATTAAACACCACGCCGCAATAAGAATTCAAAATCAACCTAGCTGACACGTAACTAGCTACCGAGTCAACACACAAAAGGCTCTTAACGCGACGGTATAATTAAACGATGATTTCTAAACAATCAACCGGGAGACGCCCTCGAAAAGGAATGCGCGATTCGAATTCTAGACCGTATATCTACTCGGCGCGCGCGCGTAATTCTACGTCACACGAGCAAGTTAAATATTGCAAAATGCACTTCAACACGCAATCACTATATAATTTGCGCAATTACGTTCAAACGAAATTACTTTAATCAGTCAAATACAATACAAGCCTCTTGTCACGAACTTAAAACCTAGACACACTAAACCGAGGCGGTTTTCACGAAACCACAATTACGTAGCGAAGTAACACGCACAAATTCTAAAAATCTAGACCATAAACCAAAGCCGGTCGCGCTAAACTTCGGCAGCGGCCACCGAGATACGCAAATTAACTGCGCCGCTGCCCGCGAGCCACTGTCTCACGCCCGCCAGCGCCAAACGCTAGGAAGCTGCCTTCCGCTGCCCCCTCCCCGTGACACGCGTGACACCTGTTACCATCGGGCGATTTGCCTAGTTGAACGTGATGGGTGCAGTCTCAAAATGACCATTTTTGGCCTAAACACAAATGACTAATTTTCCATTCAAAATACTTCAAAATAAATGCGTTATCACCCTACCTATGAGATTGCCGTTCTACAGTAATGGTCATTTCAAATCAAAATAATTTTTGTTTGGCCAAAAATTCTAATTTCAAATTAATTTTATTATAAAAACATGGAATTTTACTTTTCTAAATTAGTCATTTGTTTATTGATTAGCGTTATGTTTGCATCGTATTTGAATCTTTTTCGTCATCAAGGATACGTTAAAAATTCGAGTGATTTTGGAATATGAGTACCGTCGTGGCAACAACGCGGCACATCGCACATGCGCAACATCATCCACGTTTTCGGGGCGGATACTACAAACGAACGCACCATCTGTTATTGGTTTGCCTATTTCCGCACTGGAAATTTCGACCTGAAAAATGAACTCCGTAGTCGTCCGAAAACTTTGGTCGACAATGACGAATTAAAGTCGATTGTGGAAGCTGATGATACAAAATCTACGGCTGAATTAGCAGCAGCTTTTGACGTTAGCATTAAAATAACATTGGTCCACTTGCGTCAAATTGGCAAGGTAAAAAAGCTTGAGAAATGGGTGCCCCACGAATTCAATGATCGCCAGCGCGAAGCACGCGTTGAGACGTACCTTGCACCGCTCACAAATGAAGAAATTTTGAAGCGCATTGTTACCTGTGACGAAAAATGGAATCTGTTTGACAATCGCAAGCAATTGGTTAGATATTGGTTAAGCAACTAAGCAATGCAAAGGAAAATTTCCCGTTAGAAAAGTGATAGTCACTGTTTAGTGGTCTAACGCCGGTGTGATTTATCACAGATTCTCACCAAACGGGATGAGCATTACTGCAGATATGTACTGTGAAAAACTGAACACAATGATGGAAAACCTGGCACATCCCATCACAACCAGCGTTGGTTAATCGCTCGTCCCCGCTGGTCCTGCACGACAAAACGCGACCTCATGCTGTACAACAGACGCTCTCTAAGTAACAAGAGTAGGGGCTCGAAGCTCTCCGTCATCCGCTTTACTCACCAGACCTTGCGCGACTTCTAATTTTTTCTAGAATTTGAATAGCTTTTTGACGAGAAAAAAATGCAATAACTAAGAGGCAGTACAAAATGCTTTTGAAGAATTTGTTGCCTCCCGTCCAGCTGATTTCTTCAAGAAGGGCATCTATAAACTGCCACTGCGTTGGCAAAGATGCATTGATTGCAAGGGTGATTACGTTGATTAATAGAAATAAAAAATATAGAAAAAAATACGTTAACTTATTTAATAAACAACGGCAATTTCATAGGCACCTAATACACGGTTGGGCCATGCTGCAGCTACACATATATTAGTAGTATAGTTGTAGTAACAAATACAGGGTCATAATAAAATATTTGGGAGACGTTCATATCCAGTAGTAGACTTTTACGGATTAAAGATGAAGGCGAATATAAACGATGGTAGAACCATAGTGAGTCATATCACATTTGCATCTTTGTAAGAAAATAAGGAAATGTGTTTGGTCTTTTTGAGAAACTAATACGATTAGTTTTTTCTATCTCTTTAGTTTTTTTACAAAGAGTCCATCGTATTTTTAATAAAACGAAGATAAAAACAAATTTTGCTTAACTGTTTTAGTATATATATTAAAAGAAGCAAAATGTTGGTTAAACACAAAAAAATTTACACTTGAATAACTCTAGCAGAAACAAAAACTATTATTTTTAGTTGTCGCATAAATCCGCAAACTGTGTTATAATAATAAAATGTAGAAAAACTGAAAAACCGAATCTAATCATCTCCTAACAAGGCAGGTAGTACGTCTTGGTCTTCTAGTGCTTCCCCACCCCTCTTCTTCTAGGAATATATGGAAAATTGATAGAAAAATTGATGAAATGTAGGAACAAACAATTACTTACACTTTTTTTAATGTCTTGCGCCTTTTAAATGTT